TAAAAATTATTAAATTTTATATAATTTATTTTTAAATCTTCAATTCGAAATCTCAGAAATAATATTTCAAATTTTTGCAAAAGAAGATAGTATATTAATTATTATCTTGTTTGTTAATAACAAAAAAATAATAATCAATTGGACGTAAAACTATAAAAATGTTTTGACTTTGTGTAAGTTCAAATTATTATTTCATTATTTTACAGCTCTCCTCCGCCACGCATTTTTTTGTAATATTACTATATTTATAGATGTAAAAATAAAGAAGATAAAATTTTGCCGATAAAGGTTAGGCGAGGCTGATTTATTTAATTATATTTATTTCAATTAAAGAGAGTAGAATGAAAAATTAGGCAAGTTGGCAAAAAATTTTAGCTTTTACCTAAACAATCATTTTAGGATAAGAAGATAGTTAATAATGATAGCAAAAACAATAAATAACAGATATTTATGAATTAGGCATGGTGGGCAAGCATCCTAACTTTTAAAAGGTTTCAGCACTTGCTATCATGTAGATGTGTAGCCTTTTTCCTTTAGAGATTATTTTGAGTGACAGATCTTATAAAAAGTGATTAAAAAGTAATTATATAAAATTATGAATAAATAATAATAAAAAAGTTTAGTATACTTATAAAAGAGAAAAAAAAAGTAAAAAATTTCAAAATAAAAAGGAATCAAAGGATTTAGTATAATTATAAAAAAGTAAAAAAAGAAAGAAAAATAATTCTAAAATAAAAAAAAGTATTATGAAAAATATAACTAAAAGAACAAGTATAAGAAAAATATAAGAAAAAACATTTAGAAGGAAAAAGAGTATTTAGAGAAAGTAAGAAAATTTTATTCAAGTATGTATTTATAAATGAAATGAAGGACTATTTATGGGTAACTACCCCTTACATCATAATCTTAATCTAATTATATATAAGAGTTCAAAGCAAATTACATTTCTTATATTTTGTTTGTTGAGCTGTTTGACTTGATCTATATTTCTTGGATCATAAAATAATGGACATTCGTATATATATTCATAACAAAAAGAGAAATAAGTATACTTATTCATAATAAAAGGAAAAAGAAAAACAAGAAAAAATAAAAAAATTAAAAGGGTTAAGTGTACTTATGCAAGAAGTGAGTAACATTAAATAAAATTCTACTAATGTATCATTCACCTTAAGGGAAAAAACCTTTTTTTCCAATAAAAAGGAGTAAGGTGAGTATTAATTGGTTCCGATCGAAATCAATTGAATATGGTTAAGTTGGTTTAATTTGTTCGATTTCGATTTTAAATGATTATGTAGTTTGATTTATTATATTATTTTTTATGTTTGAACATTTAAACAAATCAATCAAAAAATTAATCATTTAAATATATTATATAAATAATATTAATAAATTATTAGTATTATCATTTTTATTAATCTATAAATATTATTAATAAATTATCAGTATTATTATTAAAAAAAAAA